TTATACAAACAACTTCATCAAATGGAATTTCTGGAGGAACCCATATAGGACCTTCATCAAACATATGAAAAGCTTCAGTATTCCACCTATTTTTTTGATCTCCTTGAAGGATTGAATATAATTTCCATCTGTAATACACATGCTCTGGTGACTACATTTGATTTTTTTATTTTATTGGCATGTTAATATAAGTAATGAATATAAATGATGGCACAGAATTAGTTAAAATCTTACATCATTTTGGAATAAAAATGAAAATTTTGGATTATTCCATTCACGATCCATAATTATAGCTTCAAATGGTGGCCCATATTTCACAACTCTTTCAACCATACGGTGTATTATCTTGACTATTTGATGAGCTTCTGGTTTGTTGACTTGTACTTCAAGTCTAGGAACTTTTGATGTAGCCTATTAAAATAATAACAATTATTATTATTACTGATTATAATGATTAACAATTATCCTATTCTTAACAGGTAACATACATACACTATTTGAATTTGGTGGCGGAATGTTGGTATATGCTGTAAAATATTATTTATCATACAAAAAGATAAGATGGTTATTTGTAAAATAAAAAATAAAAAATTAATAAGACAAATTTTCATTTTCACCTTTTGAATGAACCATTTGAGCATTAAAAGGTAATCCACTTGGTGGTGGACAACTACTTTCATTTAAAACTATATTGTACAAAAATAAACTCTGATTTTTAAATAAAATCATAAATAACTAAACATAGTTAGAACCAAACCAACATACCATATATAGGTTTTGGTGGAATAGGGACTGCTTTTCCCCATCCAACTCGCATAATATAACCCAATAAATCTTTACCATCCATGTTCTTTAAAGCTTGAGCTGCACATTCTCTATCCATATAACTGACAAATCCACAGTTTCGATTTCTATCTTTTTCTTCTTGTGTGCGTGGCCACATAATTTTGACACTTGCAATTGGACCATACTTTGCAAACTCTTTGCAAAGCATTTCTTCATTCACCTAATTTTTCATCCCATCTTTTTATTTTTCAAATCATATGATAATATTATGATAATAAAATAAACATGTAATTTTTACCTCTGGACTAATATTACCAACATATAAATTAGTTGTATTTGGATCACCTGTATCATGAGAACCAGGGCGATCTTCAAAAGCTGAATAAATTTGGGATTTTAAAAAATAACAATAAAATATATATACACTTTTCATTATAATTAAATAAATTTTTATGTTATATTAGTTACCTGCTTTAACAGTAAGTGAAGCATTTAAATTTTCATCACCACTACTAGTCTCTAATAATACAAATATTTTAAATACTTTGTATAAAAAATCTTTAGACAAATCAATTTATTCACTTACCATTTGGTACACCAGCTCCTGCTAATTTTGCATGTTTTTGCTTTAATCTGTCCTCTCTCTCTTCTTGTTCACTGTCAATTATTTTAATAAATTAATTAAAATTTTAAATTAATTTAATTAAAGAAAAAATAAAAAT